GCATTTTGCCCAATGCTTAAACTTTTTTTTAAAAAAAAATTAATTAATTTTTGTTGTTGTAAAAAATTCTTTTTAAAGGAAGAGCCCTATGTAATGTCAGTATTAATTTGAAATGTCTTATACTTGAAAGATCTTATTATTGAAGATGGTTTACGAATTCAATTTTAATATTGTGTGACAATGTGTTTTTTTGGAAATCAAACATTTACTACTTTTTCCCCTGGGCACCCATCTCCTTTCATTGGTGGGAAACCGTGGGAGCTGTGGGATGGGTGAGGAAATCTTTAATTACCAAAAATCACCACTACTGCTACAGATATGCCAGTGTCTGATATTGGTAGTTAAAGTCTTACTCTCCATCCCAAGACCCTCCTGACAATGAGAGGAATTACATGGGAGCTATGCATGCCTTGGGATAGAAATAGGACATTTTTAATTGCAAAAAAAATTCCTTGCTGAGTACATCACCAGCTTCAGTGGTACAACTCAGTGATCCCCAACCTTGGGCCTTCAGATGTTCTTAGACTACAACTCCCAGAAGCCTTCACCACCACCTCTACTGGCCAGGATTTCTGGAAGTTGAAGTCCAAGAACATCTGGAGGCCCAAGGTTGGGGACCACTGGTATAACTTACATGGGAGATTCAATTTTATAGCATTCCATAGGCTTCTCTATAGATTATTTAAGTTAGTGCTTCTGTCTCCACAGTGTTCAGTCTAACAGATACCACAGGAGGAAAACTGATAGAAATGCATAACCAGGCTTCAAAAGCCACTTCAAAAATGAAATACAGCAAACTTTCCCTTACTACAGTGTCATTTGCATCGAGGTACAGGGAACCACAGTAATTTTCAGACATTTCAGCTCGTACCCAGGAATTGACAACCCTAGTAGTTCTAGATATACTGTAGTACTGAACCTCAGCTTTGAGAGTTTAGTTGGTTTTATTTTTTTTTTCTAATTGGTTGTTGTAAGTTTTTTAGGCTGTTTTTTTTTCTAATTGTAGCTCTATGTGGCCTAGAACAAAACCTTCTTCTTCTTGTTGTTGTTGGTTGATCTGAATGCAGAAGTATACATTTTTGGTATTGTAATAATAATAATTGTAATAATAAAGAGACACAAGGCCATAGTTAATCTGGCATTCATCCAATAAATGTTGTATGCTGAACCGACAGTCTGATACTATTTCTTGTTGTTCCTTGGTGCAATGGTCACTTAATGATCAAACTGGAACTCACTCAGCCAGAGTTACAGCAAAACAAGAAGTAAGAGCTTCAAATCAGCCCTCTGTTTTAGATTTACAGATCATCCAGGTGGAGTTCATTATGGCAAATCACCCAGCAGGATCCCCTTGACAGTATATTAAGAAAACAGACTAAATTAGGACTGTTTGGATGTATGGCTAAGCTTGTTTCCCACATGGAATGTGCATCCTCCTCCCACCTCATGCACAGTTCTGCAGACTGCCTCCCTTTTCATCCAGCATAGATACGCTACCTAGGGAGGTGTCTCGATTGCTATTTGCTGCTGTGTCTGTATAACATCTGAAATATTTATGAAAGTTGAGATACTACATATTTCAGAGTAAGATTTCGCAGCTGCATGTTCTTGGTTGGCAAATTCTTAACCAAGAATAGAAAACTAATAAATGTTTAGGCTTCTAAAAATGGCTGGCTGTTGGGGAATCTGTGTGTTTCAGTTGCAGGAATGCATCTGTCACTCAGGCAGCAACCAAAAATGGGGAGAGCAGTGATAACCTTACATTTGTGCCTAAGGGAATCAACAGAGTATGAACATTTCATGGTGAACAAGGAGGACAGCTGGGGTTTCATAAGATCTTCTTTTTAAAAGGGTCTGGGTTGAAAGAGCTACCTGTAAGCAGAACCCAGAAAACCATGGCTCTTGTTCAGAGAACAGGACACAAGGTGGTGGGCAGTGAGCTACAAGTGTGTGGATCTTCTGCTCTTAGGGTTCTGCTCCTAAACCCCAGCAGTTCCTAAGCATTCAGATTATAAAATAAAACAATCTCAATAAGCGGATTTGCAAGCTAAAAGGCAGAAGACAAAAGTTAATAGGGATGGAAAGGGAAAAGGAAAGCAAACAGACAGCCGATTCTTAAAGTAACAAAGATCTTTCTTAAAGTAACAAAGATCTTCAAGTGACCAACTTGACTATAGATAGCTGAAAAAGAGGAATGTGCCACTAGCACATTCAACAATCAACCTAGTTCGACCAACTTGACTATAAATAGCTGAAAAAGAGGAGGGGTCAAATTGAGTTTATCCCTCAGCCAAGTCAATACAGTGCTCCACTAGCACATTCAACAATCAACCTAGTTTTTCCAGCAGTAAACCCATATTAGTAGAATTTCCTTCCATAGTTCCACGGTTAAGTTCCTTGTTTCTTTAAATTTCTCTTCTCAAGCAGGCATTGTTAATCTTTTTATTCACTGAGATTATGGGCTTATTATGTACTTTTGAAATTTCTTGTGCTATGTAAGAAATGGCTGGTTTTCCCACTCCTGTTTATATTTGTTTCAAGTGATTCATTTTTTTTTCTAATTGGTAAAGTGCATTTTAAAAAAATCAGAGTGCTGTTGAATACATTGTAGGAGACTGGAAAGGATTCTTTGACCACTTGGTGCATATGACGTCAGCTAAATGCTTACATTCTGGTTCAGCAGGGCATTTATTAGACTCTTCAGGGTTTGGGTCCCACCCCCTGCCCCCTAGAATTGCAGATGGTGTAAGCTTTCATTTTAGCATGGCAGAGCTGCCATTTCTTCAAGCCTATTCTCCCATATGGGTTAAATACACAAGAGCTGAGTGAGGGTGAGTCAGAAAAAAAATAATTCTGAAGGACTAAAAGACCAAAATAAGCTTGCTTTCAAATCTTCAACATCTGGCACTTAAGATAAAATGGAAAAAAATAAAACACATCTGAAAGATGCTTGTTTCAGAAGTTTGATTCAAGTAATTATATATTAGGAGCTTCCAATATCATGGGGGTGGGGAACACTCATAAAGCACAAAACTCTCAATGGAGCATCCAGTTTGATCAAGATAAGATTCCATGAGATCATATTTAAATATGATGACTCATGTCAAAATTGTTTTTGTAGGCTGAAGATTTTGCTTTTTGTCCCTATCAGGAAAAACATAGTATATGTTGCTTGTCTGATGTTTTAAAACAGAGAAAAACAGAAAAGAACAAATTTCTATCTCCTCTCTTTCTCTCCTCCTCATTTTTATAACTGAATGTAGGCTTTGTTCACTATTCTACACACTATCATTTGGTGATCTGTGTTCAGTATTTTAACACAATACACATCGAAACCAACTGAACATAAACAGTCCAATTATGCTGAGAAAAAAGCATTTAAAAATACTGATATGAGGGAGGTCTAGGGTTAAAGTTTACACATACACTTCAATATTATTTTCTTTCACAAATCCTTTTGTGTGGAATGAGTTAGAACAGAAATGTAAAAATAAATCAAAGAGTGATAATCATTTGGACAGAATCCAGACGGGTTGTTTTTCTGACAGAACTGCTCCCCCCCCCCATTGGAACCAGGAGATAAATGGCTGGAAAACCTTTTGGAGCAGGCTTTGAGCTGCATGCTTTAGGGGGAAAGGAAGAAAGGGCAAGTTCAGTAGACATCCACTTGTGTGATCTTAGAGTTAAGTCAAGAAAACTGCCAAGAACCTTAGCTATGCATTTTTCTGGTGAACAAGGAAGATTCCTTGCTCATTCTCACTCCTGCTCTATATTGTAGATACAGAGGAGTGTTGGCTACTGGTTACAGATGGAAGGAGAAAGTGATGGCAGTCACTGAATGAAGCACAAAGAGTCATGATGTCTTCTTTCACATGTTGCTAGTGCCACACTATGCTATGCCAAAATGTTACCCAGTCCTTGGAATCCTGAAGATAGGATTGGATGACTGGTCTGGGGCACCTCCTTTACGAGGAAAGTCTCTAGCATTTCGGGCTCTTTAGTCTAGAGAAAAGGCAATTGAGGGGGGACATGATTGAGATGTATAAAATTATGCAGGGGATGGAAAAAGTGGATAGAGGGAAGCTCTTTTCCCTCTCACGCAGTACTAGAATCAGGGGACATCCACTCCAATTGAGTGTTGGGAGAGTGAAAACAGACCAAAAAAATCTTTCTTTACCCGGCATGTTGTTAGTCTGTGGAACTCCTTGCCACAGGATGTGGTGATGGCATCTGGCCCAGATGCCTTTAAAAGGACCAGCATTCCTGCACTCGGGGGAGTTGGGTAACATCAGCCATCCACAGGCACTGGATGAGAGACAGTGCGGTTGAGGCTGGGCTGCGGCCGGCTGCCAGATTTTCCGAGGAAGCCTGGCTCAGTCTCCCTCCATCTTGCAGGACTGGGCCCTTGCTATAGCATGGGCCCTTGCTACAGTGTGGCTGTGGCTGGGTTGCTGCCAGCTGCCAGCTTCTCTGAGGGAACTGGCTGGGGAAAAAGTTGGGGAACAGGAGGGCTTGGGGGTGTATGATGTTCCACCCAGTGTTCCCTGTTTGCTTCCCCCCAAACCAAGGTTCACTCTGGTGATGTTTTCTCTTTCATTCACTACCACCAGTGGATATCCTTATCCACACTTGCACAATACTTGAATAAGACACTTGCTGCCAACATAACTTGTTTATTTAGATTGAATTGGAATCACAGATGTTCTTATCTTTGGTTACACATTCAGTTCTTCATTTGTTTTATTGATTTATTCACTTTAACCAACTTATTAATAATATGAGTTCTCTCTAGATCTCTGACTATCCATCTATCTTGACTTCAATTTTTCTCCACCACACTCTCATTCTCTTTCACCTTCTCTCTCTCTCTAACTGTAATTCTCCCTCTAACTGCCTAACTGCCTCCTCCTCTCCTGTCCTTTCATAGGCTCCTGCACTTGAGATTCAGCTATGAGTGACAGGCATGACATGGGCATTCCATCACAGGGGGGTCTCTGGGGCAACCAACAGAGACTATATAGAGCAGGGGAATATATGCTGGTGGGAGCAGATCATGCCTGTGTAGGAGAAAGGAGGTTAGATACCTTACATCTATCCCCCTTTCTAGCTCTATTCCCAGCCAAAAGATACTAGGTAACCGTATCAGCCATCCCCCGGGCCACATGGTACTGTTGGCAAATGCCAGGTCAGTAAAAAATAAGACCACCCTCATCCATAATTTAATTTTGTATGAAGGGGCCAACCTGGCATGCATTATTGAGACCTGGGTGGGAGAAGGAGGAGTTCCTCTATCTCAGTTGTGTCCCCTGGGTACTAGGTCCAATATCAGGGTTGCCTGGAGGGCTGGGGAGGAGGCATGGCGATAGTCTACAACACTGGTTCTTAACCTTGGGTTACTCAGGAGTTTTGGACTGCAACTCCCAGAAGCCTTCACCACCAACTGTGCTGGCTGGGGTTTCTGGGAGTTGCAGTTCAAAAACATCCGAGTAACAAAGGTAAGAACCACTGGTCTACAAAGATTCCTTCCACTTTTCCAGACTCCCTGTCCCCTTTGAAATGGTCTTGAGGGACTGTATTGTGTGTTGGGCTCAAGAGACATACTGTTGGTGTACCTCCCGCCCTGCTGCTTACCAACAGTCTCTCTACCTGAGTTGACGGAGGTGATCTCGGACCTGGTGGTGAGGACTCCCAGTCTTTTGGTACTGGGGGACCTCAACCTCCATGCCAAGGCCACTTTAACAGGGGCGGCTCAGGACTTCATGACCACTATGACAACCATGGGGCTGTCTCAACATGTCATTGGCCCAACTCATGTGAAAAGGCCATACTCTTGACCTAGTATTTTCAACGGGATGGAGGGATGGTGGTCCGGATTTAGTGGGTTTATCTTTGACCCCGCTGCCATGGTTGGACCATTTCCTTGTAAAGTTTAGACTCTCTGCCACTGCTACCCTCTGCAGGGAATGGGGCTCAATTAAAATTAATTTATTGGGATTATAATTCAAGGGACATACTATTTAGGTACCCTGTAGGAAATTTTTTTTTTTATTAAACTCTTGATATTGGCCTAATAAAATGTACTGCTGATAGAAGAAAAGATAAAAGGATAGAACAAATTAGCACAGAGTCCTGAGAATATATATTTGCACCTGTAATAGGCCTAGCATTAAAGAACAGAACATATTACTTAGATCATAAAGAGCAGGTAATCTCTTAAATGACTAGGTCTGTAGTTTGTTAGTACCAATTTCCTTTTTCTTGCCATCTATTTCTTTCATGAATGTTCTCCTTTTCTTTTCTTTTCTATTCTCAGCACAAAATAGTCTGAAGAGGTTGCCAAAAGATAAATGACTGGCAATATACTTATTATTAATCACAAATGAAGTTTGGGAAGCCAGGAAAGGTAAGACATTAGATGCTAATAGGAAATGCTGCCTACAATACTATTTAGGGCTTCAAGTATAGGGATGTATCAATGTAGATGAAGGCAAAGATAATTGATACTGTGATATTCCAGGTCAATATGTATGGATTTGAAGGGTGAAGTAAGCCACCAAGGTGGGGGGGGGAGAGATTAATTCAGAATATGGTTTTGGAGCAGAATTTTTATGAATATTTTGGACCACAAGAAAGACAGATAAGTTTACCTATCTTACTTTGGGCACACCATGAGAAGACACGCTCACTGGAAAAGACAGTAATGCTAAGAAAAGCTGAAGGCAGCAGGAAAGGAGGGAGACAAAATATGAGACAGGTTGATTCAATAAAGGAAGACACTGGCTTGACTTGCAAGACCTAAGCAGGGATATTAATTATAGGGCTATTTGGAAGTCACATTTATTAGGTGAGTATAAATTGGAAGCAACTTGATGGCACATAACAACAAAAGGAACGGGTCCTTACACAGATTGTATTGCTGTTTTCTCAGACATTCATAAAAACATTTTTCTTTATTTAAGTTTCAGGAAATTGTTGGTTATGTCCTTCTGGGTTGTTTTGTTCAGCCTGGTATGTGTGCCTTTTTTATTTTGGTTGTGGCATATGAGTACTGTTACTGGTAACTTCCAGTCTCAGGCCTTGACAATGGAGACTCACACTACTCTTGGCCTCCTTTGGAAAGCAGCTGTCTTTCATATCAGTTCTTTGTAAAGTGTGGGGATATTAGAAATATTACAACCTGCATATGATGCCTTAGAGAGGTTTGGACTGGGAGGGATATTTCTGAACAGAGGGTAAATGTCAGTCAATCCAGTAACAGCCAGTTGTTTTCTCTCTACCTCAGATCCCCCCCCGCCTTTTTCCAGTCAGTGTTCTGTCAGTTTTTGCAATGGAGTTTGTCAGATGTGGATAGTTACAATGATGTGTTTTGTCAGCAATGAAGTTAGTTAACCTCAGTGTTAGTCAGTAATGAAGTTAGTTAACCTCAGTGATATAACAAGTTAATATTTTTCACACAACATGATGTTTGTTTTTATCTATGAAGAACGGTAAGTAAACAGAAAGATTTTATTATTTTTCATTACCAGTCTCTTAGTGAATGTATTGAGCCAGTAAGTACTATCTGAGGTAAACTAATAAATAAGAGGTGGTCTGCTGAGGGAGTCTTGAAGCTAAACTGCTCAGTAGGTTCCTAACTAAATCAGTTTATCTGCTGGATAATTTGATCAATTTTTTAAATTTTTTTTAAGTCACACTCAATTTCCTCACACATTATGCCCCCATTGTGCTGGATTTTTCTTTCTGTTTGTTAGGTTTTGTTTGTGGATCAGCATTAACCACACCAGGACATTTTTCTTGATCTTTGCGTGTACATGAACAGTAGTTCATGTACCATACATACTCTTATCAAAGCCTTGCCTAAGACTTTGAATTATGTGTCACTTATAAGGATACAGTAACAGTGCATCATGATTAAAATCATTAAAAAGGAGATTGAAAAGAAAACAGCCAACATTATAATACCATTGTACAAAATGCTGGTAAGGCTGCACCTGGAGTATTGCACGCCGTTCTGGTCGTCACACCTCAAAAAAGGCCTAGTGAAATTGGAAAAGGTGCATAAGAGAGCAATTAAAATGATGACTGGGCTGGGGCACCTCCCTTATGAGGAAAGGCTACAGTGTTTGGGGCTCTTTAATCTAGAGAAAAGGCACCTGAGGGGGGACATGATTGAGATGTATAAAATTATGCAGGGGGTGGATAAAGTGGCTAGAGGGAAGCTCTTTTCTCTCACACACAATACCAAAACGAGGGGACATCCACTCAAATTGAGTTTTGGGAGCGTGAGAACAGACAAAAGAAAATATTTCTTTACCCAGCATGTTGTTAGTCTGTGGAACTTCTTGCCACAGAATTTGTTGATGACATCTGGCCTAGATGCCTTTAAAAGGAGATTCCTCCTGGAGGAAGAGTCTATCACAGGTTACAAGCCATGATGGGGATGTATAATCTCTAGGCTTAGAAGGAAGGTACCTCCAAATGCCAGATGCAGGGGAGGGGTATCAGGAGATAGCTATCTAGTTTTCTCATGTGCTCCCAGAGGCATCTGGTGGGGCCACTTTGAGATATAGGAAACTGGACTAGATAATTATGATTCATTTGAAATTCATAAAGTCAATTCCTTCTCTAAGGCAAAAAAACTGAGTCTTCCTTGTTTTGCTCTTTTAATGTTTCAGACTTCTATAAAAAAAGTATTTCACTTACACTAGAAATACACTATAAGCATTACTGGATCCTGCCTCCTCCTTGCCTGATTTGAAGCATCATGAATATAGCCAGTAAGTTGTTCTGCTTAGCTTTCAGAAGAATAATAGTTTCTTCTACAAATAATTCAAATTTCTCCAGTGTACAGTAACTTTAGACAATCCACCTCTGCAATGTGAAAGTTCCAGGCCTTTAACATTCTCCGACAGATGGTTAACATATGGAGCCATATGTTTCCAATGTTTGATTGGCCTTGTAACAGAGAGCCTGCGGATTGCACTCTACCAATATTGCTGCACAAGTGGGCTATGCAGTGCTTTGATTGTTTGCAGCTGTAGAGGTACTTTGCCCAGTTCACTGCTAGAATAACAACCACAAAAGGCCTATGGATTTTATGAGACATGTGAAGAAGGTGTTGGATTAAAGAACCTGAAGCAAAGTTAGCTGTTTCTTTACAATCAAAGTCATCATCCATGGTAGAAAAGAAAAATCTGTCAGTGTCCCTTTTGATGCAAAATATGTATCTGTATGCTTGCTCTTAATGAAAAGTAGCAGAGGTTATTATCTTCCTCAGCTGGGAAACATTTGTTTCCTGGTATCCAGATACTTCCACAAATGATGTAAACACCCAAATGCACGCGCGTGCGTGCATGTGTGTGCGTGCATGTGTGTGTACACACACACACACACACACACACACACACGCGCGAACTGACTGCTTACTATTGCTGTGGGTGCTCCCTGTCCTAGTGTTTGTTACATCTACCTAATTCTTAGAGATCTTTGGATTTCTTGACTAAAAATCCCACAATTCCACAATCTGGAAGTTTTTTCTGACACACACAATTTATAGATGCTGTGGGCTAAACCGCAGAAGCCTGTGCTGCAGGGTCAGAAGATCCGGCAGTCGTAAGATCGAATCCACGCAACGGAATGAGCCCCCGTCGCTTGTCCCAGCTCCCGCCAACCTAGCGGTTCGCAAGCATGCAAATGCGAGTAGATAAATAGGGACCACCTCGGTGGGAAGGTAAACAGCGTTCCGTGTCTAAATCACACTGGCCATGTGACCACGGAAAGATTGTCTTCGGACAAAACGCTGGCTCTATGGCTTGAAGAGCGGGATGAGCGCCGCCCCCTAGAGTCGGACACGACTGGACAAAAATTGTCAAGGGGAACCTTTACCTTTACCTAAAATGTGGCTTATATGGGGGAAAAAGACGGAAACTGATGGACTTTTGAGGCAGTGGGCAGGAAAAGGAAGCTTGGGTGGAACTGTCTAACCAACTACCAAGCCTTCCAGTTTAGGCCCTTTCTCCTAGGTGAGCTATATTTAGGCATCAGTAAGGTATGTGTGACTAGGAATCTGGAGACCAGGGTTTGAATTCCCACTTGGCCATGAAAACTCACTGGGGAGTGGAACTGGTAAAATCTTACCCACCTTGAAAACCCTACTAGGGTCACTGTAACTCAGTTATGACTTCATGACACATAACTAAGGTATATGTAAGTCAGGTAGAACTCCTAGAGTGAGAGTTATGGGATTTGTAGTCCAAGAATATCAACAGATTGTATCCCTGCTAGCTTCCTGCTCTTCTGCAGTGGAGCAGGGAGGTTTTACAAGGTAATGGCACATTTCTTTCAATGTGAATAGATGCCTTCATGCAGTTGGGATTCCTAACAAACCAGGATTTCCTGGCACGCTAAAGCTTCAACTCATATTTCAGTGAATCTGAATTAACCCCTCTCCCTTTGCATGTTCCCAGTCAGTCCTGACAGCGACAATTTGAGAGTGATGAAGGGTTGAGCGGAGACTGCAAAAACAGATGAGAGCTAAATGTGACTATAGAGGCTATACCTTGCTCATTCTTCCTGAGGGAAACCTGGACATTTGTTTGTTTGTCGGTTTGTTTATTCGCCATTGCAGGGGGGGGGGAACTCTGCCTCTGGCTCCAATTCAGACAACATTTCACTTTTTTTACTTGACAATCAAGCACCAACCATACTACCTAACATACCTTTTTGCCATTGTACTTCACAGGTTCGGTCCCTTGATTTTTGTTTAAAATCCAATGTCTTTTTTAAAGAACATGCCATCATGTTAAGAGGATGTGAAGATCATTTTTTACATTGAAATGTTAAGTTCCCCAATATTAGTTATGACATTTTTGAAAACTCTTCTGAAGGTTGCTTCTAAAGGTAGGACTAGGGTTGGACCACACAATTGCAGAAGACATCCCTACCCGACAAAATATTACCTTTTAAGATAGATTAGATCTGGGTACAAAGTCAGCTCTGATTATTGAAGCTTTACAAGAGATGTTCTCCCGGGCATTTTATGAAATGAAATGACCAAATGAACCAAAGGAAATGGCTGCAAAATCCAATGAAACATCTAAAAGACCCGATGAAGCATACAAATTCCGACTATCTAATATAATCAGGTGGGGAGTTCATATGATGTCATGTTACACTTCACTAGGAAATGAATCAAGGTAATTGACACAAAATGAATGAAGGAGAACTTAAGGGAGAGAGATACAATTGAGAAGATTTGTCAAATGATTTAATAATGTGGTTGTCAATTGCAAATTAAAAAAGCAGAATAACTAAATAGCCTGTGGGACCACCATAAAATTCAGATAATTAGAACGACAGATAAATGGGAGGTATGTTTACATAAGGAGCACACCAGGTACTTGGAGATTTAGAATATACAATAGAAGCCTTGCATTACGTGCCTAGGGTTAATATTTGGCCAAAAATATTGCCTTTGGTTGAGTGAGTAGATACATACGTTTGGATCTAGAGGAGCAAAACTCTAGTGGAAATGGCATGGTAACTGCAATGTGAGAAGAATCATGTGAGAGCTTCGGAGGGAAGGTGAATTCTCTGGTAAGGAGAGACCTCAACAACTTCCATTAATAGAAGAATGAGACAGACCCAGGCCCCAGATCATTTCTGAAAGCCATGTTATAAGTTTCATTTTTGTGCAACTTCAGTGATCACTATCATTCCTGAGCCTGTGTGATACTGCACTGCCTAAATTTTTGCAAATTTGCGAATTCAATGGTTTGAAATGTTGGTTGACAATTTCTACAATTTGTGATAGCACAAAATTACTAAGAAATGTTCTGACTATTTTGGTATCATCAAGTCCTATTGTAGCTGAATTTATAATTGCATTATCATTTACCTCAGGAAACAGCCACCATGAGTTTTCTTCTAAATCTTACGTACATGCTCAAATTTCCTAATTTAAAATGTGTCCGCAAGTGGTTAGACTTATACTTAAGTGTGTTGAGCAGAATGTTCCCTGTCATGCTAGTGTGATATTGAATATCAATTTGAGCATGTACACATAGCTTCTCAGTATGCAAAGAATATTAACTCCCTTCAAATAACTGATCCACTTGCTATTTATACATGACACTTGATGGATCTGCAAGTGAAGGATGGATGATTGGTGAGGGAGGGATGACCCAGTAATGCTTATAGTGTAGGTGATTCAGAGATGGGGAAAGCATTTATTTATTTATTTACTTATTTACTTATTTATTTATTTATTTATTTATTTACTTATTTATTTACATACTTAACTTACTTACTTACTTACTTACATACCTACCATTGGTAAAATATTCCAGCAAAGGATGGACAGCAGTGTACAAAAGTCCAGGGCCATCTGGGAAAGGCATTTGGGAAACAATTGGAATAGACTAGGTCAAAAATTAAGATGATAAGCTATTTGAATGATAAGCTATTTGAATATGGAGCAGTAATGATCTGGTAATAAGTGAAACACCAGCTTGGTCTCAGCCATAAGAAGAGGAAGTATTATTGAACAATAGCGCGGCACCACATAATATTGTTAATGAGCAGCAAATGTACAGTGTGAAAGTCCAGCACTTGGCATAAGGATAGCACAATTGCTGATTTAACCACTAGGGATTCAGTTTGATGACAATTCAACCCTAGAAACAGTGGCAGAAATTCATCAGATCCACATTTTAACATGGGGAAAAAAATCAAAATCCTATCTCTACATTTAATACCATGTATAAATATTTGCCATGCTAAATATCTTTCTTTTATGTGTGATGAAGTGGAATTATCCATGAAAGCTCACATTAAAAAACATAAACATGGGTTTTAAGTTGCCACCACATTTTGTCTATTTTTACTCTTTATTTCTATTTTGCTTTTACTTACCATCCCTAATGAGCAATTTCAAAAACAAATTGCAAAATGCTCTTCTCAAGAAAAAAAAACATATATAAAATGCATACCTTTATGGAATGTGTGTGAATACTGGATATATTTTGAAGATTGTGCACATGGAAGTGTGTTCACATTTCTGTATTAAGAAGGTGATCACCATCTGACAGGGTCCTGAAAGAGTCACAGTAAGTTTGATAGAAAAAAAAGGAGAGTTTTGATGACACAGCCCCACCCCTCCCTTGTATGCTATTTGAATGGAAGTGGGGAAGGAAATATCTTGGTGCTATGCAATACAATAAAATCTTCAGTTTTTTCTGAATCAGCTGGAATTACATCTAAAATGGGAAATAAAGTGAGAAGAATCTTACATTTGATTAAACATTAAAATACATGTCATTTAAAAAGTTTTTCTGAAATGCTCTTTGACCCCTATAAAATGATGTACAAAAGAGACATTAAAACAACTTTAAATAATACAATATGTTAAGAATGGAAGTGTTTCTAAAACTCAAAGTGAAAGAATCAAATCTGACAACCTAATATTAAAAATTATTAAAAGCTGAACAGAACAAAAAAGAAAGAGTTAGTGCCAGTCTGAAAGTAATCAGAAATGGAGCCAGTCTTGCCTTCTTTGTGTCCTTTTTAATAATACATAACCAAAACATATTTCAGTGCTTGAGAAGGCATTCAAAGGATGGTATATTCACTATCAGAATAATGTGTCTACAAGATGGTGTTTGTGATACATTAATGCTGCATCTCTTTTCAAGTGGGGTCAAGTTGATGTACATTGCTTGCACTCTTTGTTGCCTTACACACTCAATTTTAGCCTGATGATAATAATGGGGGCACATAG